TCATTTCAACTTTTATTCTTATTATTTTAACAAAAATTAACTTTTATCTTTTATAATTGATATTAATTTTTAAAATGAAATCATTATGTGTTAAATATCTTTTATATCATTTTACGTTTATAAGTTAGTTAAATCATTAATTTTATTAAACACTTCAATTAGCATATCAACTATCAATCTCAATCTTCAACTATCAATCATAAACTATCAATTATTAATCATTAGCTATAAGATATAAGCTACCAACTAACTTATCACTCGACCACATTTTTACCAAACATACTCTAAATACACTTGTCATGATTTCTTTGAAAAATAGTAAAAATCACACATAAAACTCATTTCAAATTTTATTTAAATGATCATAAAATATATATTTTTAAAATAATTAACATATATTTTAACTAATTGTTGATTATTAAAAAAATTAACCACCACTAAATATATAATATAATAATTTATTTAATTCACTTCAAAAATTCTTTATTATTCATTGTATCACATCATATATAATATATACAATAAAGAATATTTTATTATTCTATAAAATACTCCTAAATATATTTAGAATGCTTTAAAAGTATTTTACACGCAAAATAGTTATGTAATGAGACATTTAATTTGGATATGTATGAAACCAATTTTCTTTACTCAATACATATAGAGTTGACAAAACAAATTACTTAACTTATTTCGAGTGACGAATTTAAACTTTGACAAATCATTTTAAAAATTTAGAATTTAAATAAATTATAATTTATTTATTCAAGTCCGATTCTTTATATATTACAGATTCTTTACGTATTACAGTTATTTACCCCGATTTAGATAATATTTAATATTAATTTTTTATATTAAAAAAGTAATTTTTTATATGAATAAAAAGTTAAATTAATAAACCATAAACTAAAAAAGTTAAGACATATATAAGTATTGATAGCCGAAAAGATATAAAATAATTACATTCATAATATTTAATATAAAATATCTTTAAAATAAATTATTTTAATAAAATAATCAAGATTTAAATGGAGACAATAATATTATAAAATAAATATTAATAATATAATTAGTAATATAATATATTATAAAATAAATATTTATATTTTTATTAAAAAATAATATGAGTACTAATCGTATAATTTATTATAATTTTTATAATAAAAATTAAGTTAAATAAGTAGATTATCTGAAATTCGATCCGATTAATATAGTTAAATATTAGATTTTTAATAAATTAGATTTTTAATAAATTAGATTTAAAATTTTCAATAATAAACAAATTCATTTTTTTTTTCAAACTCAAAATTTTTAACGGACTCGGTTGATTTGACTCGTTTTACCAACTCTAAATACTTATCCAATTATACTCTTAATACTTATCCAAATATTTTTGGATGAAAGTACAACCATTTTAATATTCATAAGAATAAAATATTCCAAATTTGTAGGTTTAAAATTGTGACGTGGCAACAATAGATTGGTTGAGTTACATGGCAACAATAGTATTATAAATATTTCCAATGTAAGCGGGTAATTCTAGATACAAATTAATCTTTAAACATATGTTTCATTTAACAAATCAAGTCAATTAAAAAATTAACTAGGATATTAAATTTATTGAAAAGTTGTCTATTTTAAAAAGTAATTAGTTAAATTTTATTTACAGAATGAATTAACCATATTATTAAAAGATAATAAAAGCAGATGTTTTTACAATTTTGTATCATATGGACTGTATTTACAAATATTATTAAAAATTATGATTAAAATAATATAATGATTAATATTAATATGATATAAAATCCAAAGCAAACAAGAAAGAAACATCATAATCAAATCCAAATTAAACCTGGTGTTAGAAGCCACAAGTGAAGTCTAATTCAAATTCTTTGAAGAAATCATCGAGCATCCAATTCAAATTCAGAGTAAGTTTGTAGTATTTACTTAATATTTCAGTTAGTCAAAGCTTTAATACTTTTCATTTTCATTATCATTTGTTCATTTCCACCAATTTCTTTAAAGTTAAGCCTTAAATTATTGGTCTTTATATTGTTAATTCAGTTAACGTGTTTTTGTTTTTAATTTTTAATCTATTTTTTTAATAGTGTTTGAATGTTAAATTTTTTTTGTTTGTCTCTAATATGCAGATTTTTTGTCGAATTTTTTTACTTATTTAAAATTTATAGGTTTCTACATATTTTCCTTCAAATTTGTTCATAGATTTTTAGAGACAAAACGAAAATACGCTAAACTTACATAAATCATTAGATCATTTAAGTTTAAAGTTAAACTATGCTTCCAAATAAAACAAAAAGTCAATGGTGCAATAAAGTGCCTGTCTTATTAAAAAAATCTTTTTGTTTGATTTTTTGCTTTCCTTCTTCTACTAAACTCCAAATATTTTCTATTTACTTTGTAATTGTCGTTATCCTAATATCCAATTTTATGATTTTTCTACCTAATCATTCAACCTACCCAAAATCTTGTGCAGCCTCTGACCATTTGGTATAGTATTATTGCAATTTTCATTAAATTTATTTTTGTAATATTATTTTATAATTATAAATTATTTTTTTACAAAAATAATTACATTAATAAATAAATACAAATAGACACGGTTGTTAGAGATTGAATAATAAATTATATTTTATATTTATTTTACTCAACTAATATATATTTTTTAAAATTTTAATTTTTATATTTATTAAATAATTAATATATTTAACTTATATATAATTTAAATAAATATATTATTTATTTAATAAATCTAAAATATCAAAATTTATTTATAAATAAAAATAGAGGGAGGTATCGTTTAAACTATTATCCTACTCATCCAAATTACTTGCATCTTTAACTTTACAAAATACTATAAATTTAATTTGTTAATTCATTTATTATTGTTTATCAACTATAGCTTATAAGTCATCACCTAGTAATAATTATTTTTATCAAACAAACCTTAATAAATTTATTTGATGTGATTAGTAATCATTATACAAAAATACAATCATATATTTTAACTAAAATAAAAACATTTATTTTAACTAAAATAAAATAAAAACTAAAGAAAAAATAATAGTAGATTTCCTCTTCCATTGAAACTCAAGAAAAATTGAGACCGAGTTGCAACTTGTTTTCTCTCTCTCATTATATCACAGAAAAACCTCATGCAATTTGTTTGTAGTGAAAACATTTGTCCCAAATAAAAAGGTCTTAAGTAAGCAGTTTAGTTGGTGAGCTCCTATTGATATAAATAAAAAAATGTTATCCAATTAATATTTTTGTTTTAAAATATAAGTAAAAGTTAAAATATATTTATTTAATTTTAAATTGGATATATTTGACTTTTCATTTATATTTAAGATCAACATCAATTTACTATAAAAATATTTTTGTTTATAATATCACATAAGACTGTGATAAAATGCCTTTATTTTCCATAAGAGTTTTTTTTTATTTTTACTAAAACCAAGTCTTTTTCCATTTGAGTTATATTGAATAAAAATTTTAAATGGAAACAAAAAAATATCATTAATTTTGATAATTTATTAATTAATTGTAAATAAATTTTATCTAATTTTATTTAAATTAGAAATTTAATTGAAAATTAAATATATATTTTTATATTAAAGTTGAATTAAATAAAAGTTAAGTTCTTAGCTCTCCAGTACTATTTGAATAGTCTCTTTAATCCTTATTAGTTAAATATAAATCGTTTTAAATTAAAAATATAAATATATTTTAAAAATTGAGAATTGCAACAAAATTAAATATTATTGAATGTATTTTAAAGTATATGGTCTTTATTCTAAACAAAAGTGTCATTTTATAAAAATCATTGAGATGAGATAGAATATTAGATGTTTTTTCAAAATCAAAATAAACCGTATAGATATTTTTTATTACTCTCTATTATTAATATTAGTGTCATATATTGCATTTATTTATTATTATATGGTTTTTAATTTTTTATTAAAAATTATTAGTTTAAATTAATTTATTTAACCACTTTACATACTCCAAATATAAATGATAAATTATATTTTGTAATATTAAATTTTAATATATTATATGATATAGTTGATATCAAATATATTTATCATACTTTTATAATATTATTAAAAATTATAATTTAGAAATGCAAATATTCAAAATTAATCTAAAATATATTGCATTAAATTGAATAAGTTGGATCAGACTTTTTAAAATTGTTATCCATATCTGAAACAAATTGTATATAATTTTATCTTTAAATTAAATGAATTTTTATTTTAAAATAAATTAAATTTTATCTAGATGACTCTTATGTATATAAAGAAAATTATTTATTTTATAACTAATATCTAACTTATATAGTAATTTAGATAAAATAATGATTTAATAAATTTAAGAAATGATTGTTTTACTATAATAGATATCTAATAGAATTGAATTTTGTTTTTCTTCTTAGTTACTCACAAAACAATAATATAACTAGTTTTAGCTACATTTCACATCTTAAAATAATATAAAACTCTAAATTTAAAAAAAAAAGATTTTAATATAAGAAAAATAGAAGAGTTAGAATGTAAAATAATTTGATATTAAATGGACGACATATACTTGACGAAATAATATAAAAAAATAAAAATGATTTAAATGACAATAGATTGATTAGGATAGACAAAATCTGGTTGAATCCAACCCTATGGAATTAAACTCAAAATGAATTAGTATAACCCAATCCCAAAATACACACAAGATTTGAACCAATTAGATTTGTCTAAAAACGTTGAAAACCCAATAGAATTGAGTCAACAAAAATATCAGTAAAGTGATCCATACAGATTTCAGAATTATTTAATTCAAGAAGGAAATATCTTTGCATGTGATCCCATATCACAACCGAATACATTATTCTTATTCTTTTAAATTCCATTTCCCAATTGTTTAATTAATTACTCATTTATTATTTATTTATTATTTATTTCCCTGTTGTTCAAACTTATGCCAGAATGTTGTCACAAATTGCATTCAACCCAATTCTGTGTGTAACTCCATCGGCATTGAACAAGAAGAAGAAAACTCCGTTTTGTTCTTCTTCTGATTCTCTTCTCTGTAGAACCAATTCGATGGCTTTCAATCATAGAACTAACAATTACTTACGCCATTTGGAATCAATGAAAATTCTTCCATCTGGTGCTGGTACAATTCCTCATTTGAATGCTGTTATTCTCGGTGAAAATCTTGCTACCGAAGAAGAAGAATTTGTTCTTCCTAGCGAAGAATTCGCTTCCCAAGCACATGTTCACTCACCCGAACAGGTTCTTTTCTCCAACACTTTCTATGGATTTTCACTAAGTTCTAAATGATCTATCAAAATTGTTTCATGATTACTGTATCTTTGTTTTGTGATCTATCAGTATTTGGACATGTATAAGAGGTCCATTGAGGATCCTGCTGGATTTTGGTCTCAAATTGCATCCGATTTCTACTGGAAACAAAAATGGAGTGATCAAGTTTATACTGAAAATTTTGATGTTACAAAAGGAAATATTAACATTCAGGTGATTCTTTTTATTTGTTTAAATATACTATTTGGATCTAGCTATTTTAGGGTTTAAATGATGACTGGTTAAAGTTGTTCGTTTGTTGTGTTTTTCAGTGGTTCAAAGGTGGAATCACCAACATCTGTTATAATTGTGTGGATAGACATGTTGAAGCTGGACTTGCTGACAAAGTTGCCTTTTATTGGGAAGGGAATGAACTTGGTGTTGATGCTACTTTAACTTACGCTCAGCTTCTCGATCAAGTTTGCCAGGTTACTTTTTTTGTTTTGTTTTGGATAGGTTAATGATCGTATCTTAGTTGTTAATACTTACTTCTCCGGGGTTTGAATACGATCCTTCAACTCCTTTAACACTTAGCTCAAACTAGTTAAGTTAGGTAACTTTTGAGCTCCGATTTTCATCTTTGTCTGTCTCTTTCTTGTCCAAAAGAATATTTAAATTAAACTTTCTCAACTTAGCTTGTTTGAATGCTTTGTTTTATAGATGGAAATTGGCAGAATGATTAGAGATTTATATATGTTTTTTTCAGGTTGCAAACTATCTGAGAGATATTGGTGTCAAAAAGGGGGATGCTGTGATTATTTATTTGCCCATGCTTATGGAGCTTCCAATCACAATGCTTGCTTGTGCCCGCATTGGTGCTGTTCATTCGGTATCACACTAAAACTTTTTTTGTCCTTGTCATGTTATTTCTTGTTTACTTATGTTTTCAAACCTATCAGATTGTTTGATTTGTTAATACTGCTAGCTTTTTTATATGTTTAGGTTGTATTTGCCGGTTTTTCTTCGGAGTCTCTTTCGCAGAGAATCATTGATTGTAAGCCAAAAGTTGTAATTACTTCTAATGCTGTTAAGAGGGGCTCTAAGGTTATCTATCTTAAAGACATTGTTGATTCCGCCATCAATGATTCAGCTAAAAATGGGGTCTCTATAGGTGGGGATGTCATTGATTTGTTTATTGTTCCAGCATTATAATCTCTTCTCTTCAATTAACTGTGAAGTTCTGTATCATGTATTAAAATTCAAATATGAGGGGATGTATATGAGAAATATAACCTATGATGTTTGTGCATAAGTGTATGCTATAACCAGTTTCATCCATAATTCCTCATGTTACTTTTATCATCTTTGACCTTTTCATTTGCACTTTTTGTGTGTCTAAGCAGATGTTTGCCTAACTTATGACAACACATTAGCCTTGACGAGGGAGGATACTAAATGGAAGGAAGGGAGAGATATATGGTGGCAGGTTAGTCTATTAGAGTCTTTTCTCTGCATAAATATTCTGACATGGCTATCTAACTGTTACAGAAGTAATTAGTAACATGAGTTCCATCTTATGTACTTCTGAAAAATTCCTAATTGCTTGCACCTTATATGTGATCACTGATGATATACTTGTTTAGTCAAATTTCTTCTGCTATTTCGAGCAGATGAATTTGTTTCTGATGATAAGTAAACTCAGGTTTTGAAATTTTGTCGACGGATGCCGGATATATCTTGAATATTTGCGGACGTGGCTCCTATAATGACAACAGTTCACATTTTTTGCTACTTTTGTTACTGATGTTGTAGGATGTCATTCCCCAATATCCAACCACTTGTCCGGTGGAGTGGCTTGATGCCGAGGATCCACTTTTTCTACTCTATACAAGTGGGAGTACCGGAAAACCTAAGGTATTTGTGTTCTGTTATTGCTGTAATGTTCCATTTCCCCTCTTTTTATGACTCAATGTTGCTTTCTAATATCTAATATATGTTTCTAAAAGGGTGTTGTTCATACAACTGGTGGTTATATGGTATACACTGCAACAACATTTAAGTATGCATTTGACTACAAACCATCAGACATCTACTGGTAACTTCGAAATCTCATCTTACATAATTTTTTATCTTTTAAGTGTTCTTGATGATAACAGGATCAGTAGCCTTATTTAATAACCCCCTTATTCCTTGATTATAGGTGCACAGCTGATTGTGGTTGGATTACTGGGCACAGCTATGTCACTTATGGACCCATTCTCAATGGTGCAACTGTTGTTCTGTATGAAGGGGTAATGAATTTGAAACATTGTGCAATCATTTATATGCATGATAGAAATAGTCAAAATGAACCCAAGAAGCTTTCTATTAGTGCAACCAAAAAGAATAATTCAACTCTAGAATTTAAGAGTACTAGAAATTGATTTGGCTATGTGATAAGAAGAACAATGAAAGCCATATCCAGAATACTTGATCACATGAAATAGTTTAGTAGTTGGAGAGGAAGACCAAGAAAAACACTTAGTAAAACTGGTCAGAAAATGGACTTTACCCTAAATGGCCTCCCCGAAATCTTGGTTTTTGACATGATGACATTGCCTGATCCATTTAGATGACTCCCCATTGTGTGAAAAAAGCTTTGATTGTTAATCCTTGTTTGGTTACAATTCCTAAAGGAATGGGCTTTACCAATCTGTATATAGAGTTGTGATAATGACATTAATTTTTGTTTTCTGAGCTCATCATAGAATAGTTACAGAAAGACAATAAGAAAATGAGTAGTTACTCGATAATTTATTAACTAGCCACTCGGGCTTACCTAAAGTTGCTACTTGTAAGGATATGGCACGATTTGGGTGCTATTACACTGATACATTCTTGCACTGCTAAAATAATCTTTAAAGTGATTTACTTTATGTATCAAAGGACGGTTGAATAGGAGATGCAAAGAATTTCAAGGCCCCCATTTGCAGGAGGACAACAATTTATGCCTGGTTTATTGGTTGTGTTGTGTAGGTTATGGCCACTTACATCATGTGATTTTGATTCCCTCTAGCCGAGCTTTGTAGATAATTTTTTTGACTTGCCTACATATTTTAGAAAGATTGATATTATGGGATTTTTGAAAAAATTAATAGTGATTTCCACCAACATTATTCTATTAATTTGGCAATTTGAGTTAATGAATAAAAAACTTTTAAGAGTCATGAAATTGCAAAGAAATATTTTGCTCTGAATCTGATACCATGAATGCAGGCTCCCAATTATCCTGATGCTGGGCGTAGTTGGAACATTGTTGACAAATATAAAGTATCAATATTCTACACTGCCCCTACATTGGTGCGATCCCTCATGCAATATGGTGATGAGGTAAGATACATCTATGCTTACACTGTACCTTCCTGAAAAATCATTTGTAATGGTGAAAAAAATGCTTTTACACATGGAAAAGTATTGAAAGTAAACCATTGCAGAAGAATGTATACAATATCAAACAGGACTGAAAGCATCGTTAGCATAATTAGTGATTCCTTAAGCCTTTCTCGCCCCTAGGGGTGTTCGTGGGCCGGTTTGGTTCGGTTTTGAGAGAATCCGATACCCAAACCGATTAAAATTATATGGATTGGTTTGGATTGGATTTGCAAATTTTTGCGATAAAGCCCAAACCGAACCGAACCGAGAAACAACGGGTTGGATTGATCGGGTAGATAAAAAATGCAAAAAATATTTGAAAAAAATAACTTACTTACGGAAATTAATTTCTCATAATACTATAAAAAATATAGTATTAATAGGGTTTAATCGTAAATATTAGACTAACAAGAAAAATATATGACATCAAGGCTTTTGAATCTATAATTAGTCACTTGAGTTAGTATAATAATGAATGTGTTTCATAGTTCTATGTTCAGTTACCACAATACACTAATAATTTTCTAATAACAAATTAAAATAGAATAACTTGTCCACATACGACATTTCACCTTTTTCTTCTTGAACTTTAATGATTGATGGTAATTTCCATGATAATTAATTATGATTGGTTCGGGTTGGGTTTACGGGTATAAAATTGAAAATCTGAGGCCCGAACCAATTGTCATTGGATTTCATTGGTTTGGTTCGGTTATTGTCCAAACTGAAAAAATATCATACCCGAACACTATGGTTTGGTTCGGATTTACTCGACCAATGAACATCCCTACTCGCCCCTTCAGTTCCACCCCACATGTTTGATGCAAGAATCAGGGTTCTCCCTTTTCCCATTTGTGTTGCTTTACGGATATGGAGCCTTGAAGATATTCAGTAGTTTGGGTCAATTTTCTCTATCATTACTACTTCCACATATTCCTTTGTTAATAAACACATGCCAAGAATATTTATGTTATTGTTTCTAGTTCACTGCTGTCAATCTTACTCATTCAATAATTTATCTCAAAAAAGTTGAATGCATCCTCATGAGATTAATATTGTCGCATATTTTGCATGATATGATTTTAATTTTATGTGCATGTATTGCATATAATAAGGGAACTCCGTCCAATGCAACAAGTAGTGTTTAGAGTTCCTTATGTTCTAGATTTAGTTATTGGTCATTGTTCGTTCTAAAATGGTTATTCATGCAGCATGTTACCCGCTACTCGAGGAAATCTTTACGAGTCCTGGGAAGTGTAGGCGAGCCCATAAATCCAAGTGCATGGAGGTTAATATCTGTATTTTTTGTATGTAATTACAGCTTAGCTTCCCATATCATATAACATTCTGATGCAAACTTTGCTCATTCTCTTTCAGATGGTTTTACAATGTAGTTGGAGATTCAAGATGCCCTATCTCTGACACTTGGTGGCAAACAGAAACTGGTGGCTTCATGGTATTTTAACTTCCAATGGCTATATATGTTCAATATGATTCTAATGATAGACACTAAACATGTAATTTAGGTTTATTCCATTAGTAACAGTATCACATTTACATAGCTGAAGTGTTAATTGAGAGTTGGGTTTTGTATAAAAGTCTTCTCACGCGTGCACACACATATTTTGTGCATCTCTGTCTGGGATTGAAATTCTTCATTGTTGCTTGTAGATAACTCCACTACCTGGTGCTTGGCCCCAGAAGCCTGGTTCTGCTACTTGCCCTTTCTTTGGAGTCGAGGTCTGTTAAGAAAACCTCATTTGTTCATTTTATAATATATAGTGATTTTTTTCCGTCTTTTTTACTACTAGTTGTTCAGTATGCCAATTTCTCTAATATTATTTTGTTATTTTAGCCCGTCATAGTGGATGAGAAAGGTGTTGCAATAGAAGGAGAGTGTAGTGGTTACTTGTGTGTTAAGAGATCATGGCCAGGGGCATTCAGAACTTTGTATGGTGATCATGAACGATATGAAACAACATATTTCAAGCCCTTTGCTGGCTACTATTTCAGTGGTGATGGCTGCAGCAGGTTAGTGTAAATTATTATTTTGCAGCCCTCCTTCAAATACAGGAAACAACAGAAAGAACTTTTAAAAATGTGTGGGTTAATTATGTTCTACGCACTTGACTTTGTTTCAGGGATAAAGATGGATACTATTGGCTTACTGGGAGAGTTGACGATGTCATTAATGTCAGGTATTTGAAATCCATAATCTCTTTCTAGTGATTTGTCAATCCTGGAATTTCATTATAAGTGCAAGCATGTAAATATGAATAGACATGGAATTCTCTTATGATGCTTAAATCTGATACTCTTGTTATGTGCAGTGGCCATCGTATTGGGACGGCTGAAGTAGAATCAGCTCTAGTTTCACATCCAAAATGTGCTGAAGCAGCCGTTGTAGGCGTGGAGCACGAGGTATGACTTAGTAATCTTCTCTCACAAGTATGGTCAACTTCAAGTGTGATTTTTGTGTATTAAAGAAATTAAGCAGTTTCTGTATAGCATCAACACATTATTGCTGTCTGTCCTAAATCTGAATCAGCTACCATTACTACTGTAGGTTAAAGGACAGAGTATATATGCTTTTGTTACTCTTGTGGACGGCGTTCCATACAGTGAAGAACTGCGTAAGGACCTTGTACTCACAGTTCGAAAGCAGGTCTATACATAATCCCTTATATCTTCATACAAAGTGTGGCGATGACCTGATTGATCCTGTATCGTAGATCAAGTTGCATGACTTCATTTTATAATTTTATTTTTGACAAAAACAAATTATAAAATGAAGTCATTTTATAACTTATTTCTCGCATTTTTCGCATGACTTCATTTTTTATTGATCCTGTATTTCAGATAGGAGCATTTGCAGCACCTGACAAAATCCATTGGGCACCCGGGCTCCCAAAAACAAGGAGCGGAAAGATAATGAGAAGAATTCTGAGAAAAATTGCGTCTAGGCAGCTAGATGAACTCGGAGATACAAGTACCCTTGCAGAGCCACAAGTGGTCAACCAACTTATTGAACTAGCTGACTCGTGAAGCCTTAAACTCTGTACTAAGTAGATCAGTTACAGACTCTAGTCAATGGGAATTGAGAGAATAGTTTTTAAATTAGATCTGTTATCTCTATTTTTCGGAATGATAATCCTCATTTATATAATAAATAAGTAATTTAGTTTGTACTAGGTTATAAATTGAGGGGAAAATAGGAAACTGAGAAACTATTTTGAAAGAAATGCTTAAATCCTATTTATTTATTTATTCGATGATGGCGATGATTGATGATGACAGACCAGTGTATTTATAGTGATCCACTGAGTTAGGTAACTGATTCCAACTATTACCCAACAGAAAAGAGCACAAGCTTCTTGATGCAGAAATGGACTAAAACTTTTAACTAATTTTTTGTCTTTTTTTTAAGTGTAATTAAGTTCCTATACTTTGACCTTCAATAGATGTTTTGAAGTCTACCAAGTCCATTTGATGATTTCTTTTTCCATTCTATGTTTTGCTAGTGCACCACACGAAATTTTAAAAATGTCTATAAAAATCGGAAATATATTGCTGGTGTGCAGCTATATACATATAATTCATTCGTTTTTTGAGATTCATCATATTTTATGATGAAATTTATTCCAAAAGTATACTTTTGAGAATTTCCGGAAATACATTTCCTATATTTTCGGAATACGTCTGAATATGTCTGAATAGTTAAATTCAAATATATGGATGCACCTAACTGTGTCAAGTACAACTGGAAAAATATGGATGCACTCTATATGTCTGAATATGGATGCACTTTAATTTAGATATATGTCTGAATATGGATGCACTCTAACTATGTCAAGTACAACTAGAAAAATATGTTTGAATAGTTAAATTCAGATATATTGAAATTTAGATTAACTATTTGCTCACAAGTAATTTGTTCTAGGGATTTGTCTTAATATTGAAATTTGGATTCACCCGTGTTATCACATTCACAAAATACATTAGAAATTTGGTCTAAGAGTTTGTCTAGATGTTGGAATTCGAATTCATCCATGTTATCAGATGCACATAATACACAAGCAATTTGGTCTAGAGGTTTGTCCAGATATTGAAATCTAGATTCACTCCTGTTATCACATATACATAACACATCAGCAATATCAGAGAGAATCTAAAATAATATAATTTAAGATAGATCTTTGATATCACATACACTAAATATATAACATATATTTGTTAACGTAAATCTAACATGATATTTCATCGCCAATTTCGATTAGACCCTTAGTTGAGTAATATGAAATATACTCTACAATAACACTTACGTTTGCATTTGTTTTGAACTCAAACTTATTGAACTTATTATTTCCTTCTTTATTAGCTATTGGTGAATGATACTCGATCTTAGTCACTCTTCAATTGTTGGTATAGTGTGAGAAATTTTACAGTTTGAATTTTAGATCTACAAGATAAATATTCTCTAGAACCCTAAATTCAAAAGGAGTCATCATGTCGTTGAAGTAAACAAATGCAATGTGCCAATATTTATTCATTTTAGAGTATTTGTGTTAACAACATATAAGACATATTTATATAAGTTTTAGATCATTATAGACCATACAAATGCAATCTTGTCTCAGGGTTTGTCCGATTATTGAAATTTAGATTCAATCCTTTTTATCTTGTATGAAGAACACACATGGATTTTCTCCGAATATTGAAATATGGATTCTCTCCTCGTAGCATCACATATACGCAAAATATAGGGTCTTTCCGAAGATTGAAATCTGGATTCACCCTAGATCACACCAGACCAATTGAGAATACTTGTTTTATGACATACAAACACATCAAAACGTTAATTCCAGTATTTTTACAAGTAATGTTATTTATACATTAAAACACATCAAAATATAGCCAAATTACATCCATTAAAACAATTGACTCCAAGCATAAGAGGAATGATGAATCGTGAAGTGCGAAAAATGTGATTAATTTAAAAAAAAAAAATTTACTTTGAAATACATTTATTTTAGTTCAGAGATAAACCAGCAGAAAATAGAAAGAAGAAACTAGAGAGGAAAGAAAATAATCAACATAAATAAAAGAGATAGAGATAGAAAGAACATTATGATTTATAGAGGTTCAACCCAAACAACTGTCTTATTTCACCTCCCTAAGAATTTATTCTTGATAATTCTACTATAATAAAGTCTTAAACTTTTATGGATATTCCCACGAAGCTAATAACAAAGATGAGATATTTTACACAAGTTGATCCCCATACCAAATGGAGTTTTTTATGACTAAACTCACAAACCAAACAGAGATTTTATCGACGAATCTCAAGAACCAAACAAAGATTTTATTAGGACAATCTCAATAACCAAACATATATTTTTACCATTGTAATCTCAAGAATCAAAGATATCAAACACGAGAATCACGCTACTGGTGAATAACACTAAAGCATGAACACCAGGAGAACCAAAAACTCTTTGAAATATTTTTCACTCATATGACACTAAAGAGACTTTAGTGAAAGAATATAAAAGGAGAGAAAATAGAAAGTTAGAAGATGATAGTAGAAATATGAATTATCGTGATTTTTGAAATGAGGAGAAGCCTTTTTTATATAAGAAAAAATATAGTCCATAACAGAAAATGATCTATGGGTTTTTTAATGTTCATAATTAATATGGGTCAAGTCTAATCGATTGTGTAGTTTAAACATGGAAAGTTTTCAAATTTGCATCACTAATCGATTAAAATCCCTCTTAATTAATTAGGAGTTACAAAAGAGATGATTTATTAACCCTAATGTTCTAAACAATTATTTAGTGTAAACTACACTCCTGAAAGATTATTCAAGCTAGTAACTAACTAGCAACTTATGGAAACATTTGTGTGCAATTTCTACTCACAACAGTGCATTATTCCTTAATTGTAGACATCATTGCACTTCCTTATTTTTTGCTACGCTAGGAGACAAGCAAGTTACCAGGTAAGTGACATGTATTAATAATACTTTTCTAATTTAATTTGTACCCAACAAAATCAGAGTCAGAACCACCAACTATGACACAATCCTTCCTTTTGGGGGTACCCCAAACCCATTAGTAGTGTACCAATGATATATCTCAAAACTAGTTTACCGCAAAGAGATGTGATTCTTTTAGGGATGCTTGACAATAGGTCCAAAGACAAACATGAAACATGATATTAGGATGAGATGTAATGGGATAAAGAAGAGAATTGATCATACATTGGTACTTGCTTTCTTCAACTACCTTTCCTCTTTCATTCTTGTCCAAATTGCAGGAAGTACCCATCAGAGTGGAGATAGTCTTAGCTTTATCCATGTTGAATCTTTTGAGTAATTCTTTGCAGTACTTTGCTTGGTTGATAATAATGCCTTCTTTGTATTGATAAATTTGAATGTAGAGGAAATATATAAGCTCCCTGATCATTGAAATTTAGAACTAATTATGCATCATCTCATAAAACATCTTACTCAAAGATTCATTAGTAGCACAAAAAATAATATCATCTACATAAATTTAAACTAAGAGTATGTCATGCTCATATTTTTCAATAAAAAGGTTTTTGTCAGCTTTTACTCTTTAAAATTAGTTTCAAGCCGAAACTTATTGATACGATCCTATCAATCTTTAGGAACTCGTTTTAGGCCTTACAAAGCCATTTTCAACTTGAAAACATGATCAGAAAAGGAAGAGTTTACAAAATCCAAAGGTTGATTAAAAAACACTTCCTCTTGGAAGTAACTGTTCAAAAACACACTCATTACATCTGTTTGAAAGAGTTTAAAATCCATGATTCAATAAAAATCTAGAAACTTCCTTATAGCCTCTAATCAAGCTACAAGAGCATATGTATCATTGAAATATATGCACTCTTGTTGATTGTATCCTTTTGCAACAAGTATTACTTTGTTTCTAAAAATGTTTCCATCTTTATCAAGCTTGTTGTGAAAGATCCAAGGAGTCCCAATCAGTTTATTAGTTGAAGCTTTGGGAACCAGTTCCCAAATATTGTTTCTTTCAAATTGGTTTAACTCTTCTTGCATAGCAAGATATCAATGTTCTTCAATGACAACCTTATCAACTTCCTTTCGCTCAAATTTGAAAATAAAGGCCATATGATTACATACCATGTTAAGTGAGTGTTGAGTTGTATCTCGCTTAGAAATATCTCCAATAACGTTATGAATCGAATGGTCCATAGCAGTCATCCATTATTTGGGTAGACTTTGATTTTCCAAGTTTGCTTCTTCAGCATGAGTCTCTCCATTTAGACTATGATCTTACTCTTGACATTTATCTTGATCTTTATCCTGACCATCATCTTCCAGAGATATTTTCTCAAGGATACATGCACAATCAACAACATCTACCTCTATAGACAAAGGGTTAGACTCATCAAAGATAACATGAACTAATTCTTCTATCGTCTGACTTCTTTTGTTAAAAACTCAAAAAGATTTTCTATAAGTGGAATATCCTTGGAATATGCCTTCATCAACCTCTCTAACTCTTCTAGAGATTTATTCTTCCTCTACACTACCCCCATTTTATTGAGGAGTTTGTGGAGTGAAAAAGTATGCAGAATGTCATTCTCATTAAAGAACTTTTCAAATTCCTCATTCTAGAATTCACCACTATGATCACTTCAAATTAATTCAATGCATAATCCTTTTTTGTTGTGAATAATCCTAACAAGTTTTAGAAATAAAAGTGATAGAGCTAGAGAAATTACACCAGAATTTATAGAGGTTCATACCAACTACTTGGCCTACCTCCTCTCTCCAAGAATTTCTTCTAGAGAGTTCCACTATAATAATGTTTAGAGCTTTTATGGATATGCACTACTAAAAATAACGCTTATAACGTCAGACGCGGAATGCGTTTTACTTTGGTTACCCAGGCGAGGTAAATAAGATTGTCATAAAAGTCTCCACTTAACACTTTGGTGGTTTAAACACCGAGGGTATAATTGAGAAGGTCATGGGTTCGATCCCTCGGTATTGC